CATGAACCCCCCCCCCCCCCCCCCCAAATCCAAGAAATGATACAAGCATCATTTGTTTCACGTGCACTGAAATCTTTAGTATCTTCAGGTGCTTTGGAGGTCCCATCAATGTGATCCCAAAGCTCTTTCCCTTTTAAAACATCTTAAATTAAAATTCTCATATAAAATAATTCTTTCATGTGAACTTAACACAAAAGCCTCAATTGACTTAGTTTCTCAGTGTAAGAAAATCACAAATTATAACAGTCCAAACTTAATCAACCCACAAAATAAAAAGATTTGCGGCCCAAACAAATTTGGACACAAAAAGAAATAAAAAATAATAATAATAATAAAACCACTCTAAATAAATCCAACCCACAAAATTAGATTCTTTTCAAACAAATGGGCCCAAATAAACCAAGCCCAATTCAATTAAATGGGCAGCCAAGGCTAATCCACACAATAACCATGAAGTCAGACGCCTGAAAATTGAGACGTCGTATCACACCGATTGCACACACATAAACGCTCGATCCAACTCCGATAACCTACCATACATAGCCACACTTAATTGATACCCACCGGTGAAGAGGGGAAAAAACTACTCAAGCTACAATTGAATACCACTATCGCTGTGCTGAAGATGGCGATCTGCACCACCACCGCCGCGTTGAAGACGACGATCTACACCAACCAAGATGTTGACCACAAATCAGCCAACCCAAAATTCCAAACGCATGACCACCCAGAAATCTTGAATACCCTAAACAAGAAATTCAATCACCTACTCCGACCACCCCGTAGGCAGAATAAAATTGAAAATCAAAGATTCAACGATGGGATGTAGAGGTATCGCTGATACCGTGTCAATATTTTGGCTGAATGCCCTTCCGATTTGGGGCTCTTCCATTAAATAGAAATAATCGTATCATCCTAATATGGTAAACAAAAACTAATTACAATAATTTACAATCAATTATATATAGGTAATTATAGTTGTGATAATCTCCGTGGTAATCTTCGATGTAATCTCCACAATTTTTGCCAATCTTCAATTTCGTTAACATATTATAGTTTATACATTTCAGGGACGGATCCAAGATTATTATTCAGTTAGGACGAGACAAAAAAAAATGATCTAAAATAAATTGTTTAAGCATTTTTTGAATATTTTAAGTCCGGACGAGTTTTGTGGTGCTTGATGGGGAAGCACTTTGAAATACCCCTAAATTTTCGCTTTTGTTTTTTTTTTCAAAGACAACATTTTTTCTATGTTCTTTTTGTTTTATTTTTTGTCGACCTTTTGTGATTTTACAATAACAGAAAAAAATTGGAATACAACTATATCAATTTTATTCAATCATTTTTGAGGCATGATGAATTTGACGCAAAAAAATTAAAAGAGAGAGAGATAAAAACAAAACGCAAAAGAATAATAGAAATGACATTTTCGGACTTGAACCCAAGACTTCCTATGTCCAAAGCAAGAATCACACCACTAGACCAAATGCTTATTGCTCTTAGCTCTTTTCTGGAGGTATTTGAAATTTGAGTGGGGGCGACTGCCCCCACCTATCCCTTCGTGGATCCGCCCCTGCATTTCACATAACAGAAATTCTAATTTATAGTAGAGCTGACAATTGTAATCAGATTTTCAACGGTATCTAAATTAATCCCATTTTTTATGCTTTACACGTGCATTATTATAATTAGTAGGATTTTATTATTGCTATTATGTCAGTTTAAAAGTGATTATTAGATTCTAGAATAAACTGAAAAATTATAATTATTTACGAGCTCTCCACTCATTGACTTAAAAGACCTATATTTTGTCATGCTTTTCTTCTTAGATGGTAGCTGGCTGAGGCCTGAGTTAAGCAACTTTTGAAGTCTATCGATCATAGAGTGAAAGCACCTAATATTAGTGTATATTAGTCATTTTTTTGGATCTCGTAGTCTTTAATTTTTATTTTTTTTTGATATCCAGGTATCTCAACTTACACCAAATTAAATCCTGAACCCCCAAGACCCTTGCCCCTAGAATCTTGGAGGGGGTAAATCGCGGGTTATGCCACAACTGGATCACAGGTTCCCTCCATTGCCTGTACACTTCTGCGCACAAGAGACCTTCCTCCACAGTGATTGCTCCATACCAAATATTTGGCCACAAGTTCCCACCAGGAATTGAACTCTCCACCCTGCCGCTGGAAGCAAGACAATGTTGATTAATCCACCAGTTGAGTTGTGCTTCGAGGGGCGATCTCGTAGTCTTTATTTCCTTACATGTACGTGTTCTTTGCATCTTTTGTAAACTTTTTGTGAATCTGGGAATTTTTCTTGTAAATGACATTGAAGATCGAGTTGCTTGCACTTTATTTTGATTGGTGTGTATTTAGAGGGACAAATGATCCGTAGTTCACACTTCACATCATATGTATATATTTAGGAAAAAATTGATTCTTTTTTGTTTGGTTTAATTCATATTACAAGAGAAATATTATCAAATTTTTTATTAAATTCATTATAATCAAGGCAGGTCAAAGTTAGCTTTGGTGGGGCTCATTGCCTACTTGGCATGTCACGTCAAGTCCGCTAGTATGAACTGAGACAGGTTGTGTTAGTAGACAAAGCTCTAATACATCGTAGCATAGTAAAAAACAATAACAATCACAATCACAAAATTAATAATGAAAACAAGATTGAATTTAAGTAGAGAAATCCTCCCCAAGCAATCTATATTAATAAAAAAATCCAACCCTTAAGATGAAATTCAAAGAGTCATAAATATTAAACCTAATGATAGTTGAATAAGGAAACAAATAAACTATTTTAAACGGAGAATAGGGAAACATATATCTAATGGGATTTGAATTAAAAAAGAAAATTAAATAAGTAATAGCCACTGGCTAACACACGGCTCGGCCGGGCACACCTCACTGGATCAGGTACTTCTATTTATATCGTAGTCTTGTTTTAATCCTCAAGTAGGAAAGTAGGAGCCCTCTATTATAAATAATTTAAATAATTATTGTATGAGAAAATTATACTCCGAAAACAACACGCTCACAATAACATCATCCAAAGTAGGTCTTTTTTTTTTTTTTTTTTTTTTTTTGGTGGAGATGCAATTTACCTATGTATCAATCCAGTGTTAAAGAAAATATTATCAATAGCTCCATGAAAATACTAACAATCACTAATATACACTCTGCTGTCATATGCAAGAACATCCTATTTTTCAATAATCATAAAGCTTATCACTAATAAATTATTGCACTTTGCATTCTATTGTTAGTAACATTATGTTTAATGGCATAAGCTCTTAGTGAATGACCATCTAACCTTACATGGATAGCCGTGTGGCCCTGATGGAACATAAAGTGATTTGGTTTTCACCTCTGATATATTGAGAGAGAGACTTTTTTGGATTGTGCCAATTGTCCAAGGACGAATAAGCACTTCTAGAGGCTAAAAATATGATTTAAAAAAAAAAAAATTCTCGAAATATGTACTCTTAATCAAAACACTGTATTATTTGACGGTCGAGTCACAACTCACTATCGACACTTCATTATAAATATTAAATAATACTATCTAACACGAGTCTAAATGAAAATTAAAGCACATATAAACTTGTTCAATAAATTAAAAAAAAAGTAATGTTATTCGGTATCATTGATGTCAAGCACCAATTTAGGTAGTATAAATTCATTTAAATAAAATATCACATAATTCATTTAATTAAATCTATCCCCCACAGACGCAAACTACCATTTTCTTCCTTGTCAAACATGCCACCATTTTCTCTACACATCCCCAACCACCTTATGCACGAACTAATTAAACATGCCAACATTACTTCATCCATCCCCCACAGACGCAAACTACACTCTCTTCCCCATCACTACTATGGTACTTGTAGTAAGTGTAACTACAGCTTTTGAGAACAAATTTTTTTTTTTTTCCTTTTTTTCCATCTATATTCAATTCTCTTAGAAGCATACATGCTTTGGTCATGTGACAAATTCTTTAATATAAAAATTCTATTAAGAAGATCAACTTTGGCGCTGAATTAGTTTAATAGAGCATGATGACAGATCAAGACCTGTCATCATTCGAATGGCCAAAACCGAGGAGAACATGAAACTGTAAGCTCCCAATAAGTTGAAGCCATGCATCTATATCACATCATCCTATATCCTTGATGCAACATAGAAGCCGAACAAAGAATTTACGAAAATACCATTTGTACATAAAAATGGTTTACCACCTTCTTGACAGATTCTCACATTCGCTTGTGACCCGAATGAAAAAAAAAATGATAAAAAATTGCTCCCCCATCCCCCTATGAGTCTGTTCTGTCAGGGACAAACAGCAAGGTCCAAGAATTTAAGCATCATAATTACATGAACATAGAGGGAAGTTAAGAAGAGCTCTACTATTCTTGCTTCACAACAGTAAACTTTAACATTGTAAGATTGAAACTATTTAAAACAAGAAAATAGGAAGAAATAACATTGAGCAAATTACAAGACACCAAAATAGGTAGAATATACAACTACATACTCAAAACAACAGTCCAGCAGCACTTTCCATTTGCCCTCCTGCACGAAATCTATTACATAAATATGCGTAGAAAATAACATAATAACAATTGTAGGATCTTATTATACCTCAGGAATTATGCAGTAGATACTGGTACGACCAGGCCTTTCTTATGCATACCCCATTCCAGCGGCTTTGCTAGTAGACCTTCCAGTTCCATTACCATATTCAATTGTTGCCTTTCGACTTCTTCTTCAGCTTCCTCGGTGTCATAAATCAAATCATCTTCCATGAGTTTCTCCCACGCGACAAAACTCTCAGAAGACAAATCAGAACTATTTGATTCATCGAAAGAGTACAATGTTTGTATTTCCGATTGAATCGTAGTAAGCTCTTCTTGAACTTGAAGCGGCTTATCAACAGCATTCCTCTCAGCAACCTCGTCAGAATCAATGGTTCTCATAGCTTCCAGTATACAACCATTGCCCAAGTCAGGCGTAGCCAATCTTCGTTTCTTCAAAATTTCACCACTGGTTAATGCCCTTTTCTTTCTCATTTTCTCAATGAAGTACTGCAAAAACCCAGGATTTTTTAGCGCTTTAATCATGAAAACAACAGTGTGTTTTTGTTTCATTTCAGTGTCCTGCAAACGATCCTTAACAGTCACTAAACAATGCTCCATTTTCTCTTGTTGTCGCCTTAGTTTCAATATTTCTGCATTCAGTACATTCTGATCGGTCCTCAGTTTTTCAAGCTCAGCCTCTGCCCCATTCTTGGTGACGGTCAACCAAGATTGTGCGGACCCGTGTCGCGGCATGATTTGAGAAGTTTTCTCTCTCCTTTTAATATGCATCAACAAATGCTTCTTCCCTTTCTGAAAACCTTCATTTGCAAACTCCCATCTATCTGAGTGGATCTTCCTGAATCTCTGCAACAATTGCATAACAAAGTCTCATCAATTCGGACAGACATAAACATTTTAGGCAAATATAACTGTGAAAACCAAAAAAAAAAAGGATTTGGCACTTGGCCTTCGAATATATAGAAACAAGGAAAACATAAAATGACACAAATAATCCAAGGAACGTGACAGGAATTGGAAAAACTGAAGGTACTAAAGAAACAAGAACAACTACTAATTCATCCGCTAGAGTCCCGTTCGATCCTCTTATCTTGATTTCTCGAATTGAAAAATCCATGTTACGATCCTGATGCATATCTCTGCAGACCGAGGAGAAAAGGGACTCGTCATGTACATGAGAGAAGCATGGTGGTCAACGAAATCGTTGTTTTAGACGATGCATATGTAAGAGCATTTTTTTTTTTTTTCCGTATTTACTAGCAGAGCATAACGTACTCTACGACTAATCTGTCTTGGGACCTAAGCATAGTGTAGAAACACAAAAATTATGTTTGTTCTCTCTTTTTGATATTTCTGCCTAAATCCCATTTTGAGGTTTGCACAACAATCATATCCCACCTAAATTTGAGCCCGTTTGGAGTGATTTTGAGAATTGATTTTTTGACCATTAGGAGAAAAGCGTGGTCCACCTGTGAGAGAGAAGTCGAATATGACGGCTGAAATAGTGAAATAACGGTCAAAAAATCAATTTTTTGAAAGGAAAAATCGCTGCCAAAATAGGCCCTTTATCTCAAAATCAGAATAGAAAAAATTGAAAATGAAGTAACTGCATAAGCAAAAGACAGTAGTAACTAGGATGCATCCCAAAATGCCAAAGGACAAAACAGCACAAAATATAATCTGCTTCTCACACTTGAAACAACACAAAAGCCATGGGATCATCTCATACACTAGTGAAACAGCATAGAGAATTTTCTTTATTCTATATCACTTAACAAAATCTTAATATAATCAGAAGAAAATAAAAACATATTGCTACAATCAAGAATTGATCCACAACAAAATGACTCCACATTAAAAATGCATAAACACAAAAATTGTATATTTCTGTCCCCCCCCCCCCTCCAACCAAAAGGCCTACTTTACGATTAAACAATTAATTATTGGTTAAATATAATTAACTTTTATTTAGAAAAGCTAATCACCAAAGCAAAAGGCTGGGGTATGAACAGGATAATACCCTACAACATATGTCACTCTTAACCAAGAAATTTTTGCCTTCAAAAATTTCTCAATTACCCTTCTTCGACTAAACAACCCAGAGATGACATTTTACAGAAGAAATTTTAGTTGTTTAAGTGAAAACGATCCCATTTCCCCCGTCAAAACAATTCAAAACTGTGTAGTGTGGCAAAATAAAATGATTTTCCTCCTACCCTTAAACGCGCACCCCATCCCCACAAACACACATAGATATATACAGACAAGAATGCTTACATAGGTGTTGAGCTGGCGAACAAAGCTGGAGAAATTGTTGTGCTTGAAGTTTTTAGGGAGAAAATCAGTGGAGAATTTATGGGGATCCCACACAACGAAGCTGTTCCTCATAGAACCCCATGATATAATAGCATCTGTTGCAGGATCATCCACCATCTCAAATGTTTTCTTCAAAAATGGCGATGGCCCCATTTCTCTCAGCCCTTCCATTGGTTTTGGCACCACGATGCATGCATCATCGCCCCCAGACACAATATTCTCTTCTTCTTCGTCAAGTATTATCAAAGGCTCTTCTTTTACACTACTGATCAAAACTTCATCTTTGCCACCTTTTCCTTCCATATTCCTCTCTATTTCTTGCTCCATTTTTGTGGGTTTTGAGCTGAAAGTGTGACTCTTTATCTTATCAGTCTATTTCGGTGAGAAAAGAAAAAAGGGTTCCGGGTTAAAGAAGAGTTATTGGGGGGAAATGTGGTGTCTGTATTTGCATATATAGTACATGGGGTACATCGTAGGGTCATACAATGTAGGTGGTGAGATAAAGTCATAAAGAGGATAGGAGAACAAGAACGGTGCCGAAAAAGAAAAAAAAAAAAAAAAAAAAAAAAAAAAGAGGGGGGAAAAAAAAAAAAAAAAAAAAAAAAAAAAAAAAAGAGGGGGGAAGAAAAGAAGAAAAGAAAAAAAAAAAAAGAAAAAAAAAAAAAAAAAAAAAAAAAAAGAGGGGGGAAAAAAAAAAAAAAAAAAAAAAAAAAAAAAAAGAATGAGGAGGGAAAGAATGGTAAATTTCGTCCGGAGACACTGAACTTTCAACTAAATCTTAATTTGACCACTAAACTTATCGACTGAATTATTAAGCCCCTCTTTATCCTTAATTTTTTCAAACTCATTTTCAACTATACATTTTATAGGATTCACAACTTTTATAAACTTTTAACCACGTATATCAGTAAATTTAATCAAAATCTACAAAAAGGAATTATCATGCTATCATTTTTGTTTCCCAAAATATTATTGATTAATTTACAGGCATATTGTAATGAAAATTTTCAAATAATCTTATATGGCATGCCAACTCACCACACGGAAAAATCTCAACAAACAGGGCCTTGTAGGCTCTATCCGTCTAGGAGGCGCACGGCACAGATCCTCTTCCAATATGGGACACACTAGATAGACAAGGCATTCGTGTAGCAGGCCTCTTCACCACACTATCATGTCATAAAAACTTAAAAATAAAATAATATGTTTTTTAATATTTTAATTTAAAAACATCATCATTACTTTCATTTCGCTACTTTTACTCCTAGTGTGTCATGTAGCAATTAAGTGAAAATTTGTTAAGGTATGATTGTTTTTAATTAATTTCTATTTTTAATTAATTTCAACCAGTTCGAAAGATGTAAGGTGGTGGAATGCAATTAAATGTTGAGAAGTGTAATTAAATTGAAATTATAAGGACTCAATTAAAGTTTTTCCTCATGAGAATTGCTTAATTAAAAGTCACACTATAATAAATTATTCAAATAATCGATTCATGACATAACAACTTACCCTTATATCATTTACAAAACTAATAAATTTGAAGAAAAAAATTTGCAATTTAAGCTTTAATATAAGGAATAATTGTAGCCACAGCCCAAACCTTTCAAATCTTTGTAGATTTTGTCCTAATTTTCCATTTATTGGCACCCACAGTCCCCAACCTTTCAATGGTGTTTGGCTGGAGGACAAATGTATTATTTTCGTCGAAATTGTCGTAGGTTGTCCACATGTTAATCAATTTTAAAAAGGCCAAAGTGATAAATTTGTATTTTTATACATAAAACAAATAGGATAAATATATTTACACCACAGTTTTTCATAACTACACTACACTTTAATTGTATGAAAAGTTCATTATTTTTGCATATTATCACATTTATGTCTTAAACCTTTTCATCACATTCTTATTCTCAAACTAACATAAATTGTTCCTAATTATGATTTTTCTCAAAATTTTTATTTAAAATAGAGTAAAAATGTGTATATTTAAATAAACAAAACAAATAATAATCCAAAAATGTTATTAAATATTTGACCCTCATTTTAAGTAATCAAATTTAATAGAATAAAAAATGTAACAAATAATTTTTCAAAATTTCAAACCAAACGCGATTTTTATTTTCTATTTTAAAAAATAATTTTTCAAAATGACAGACCAAACGCATTTTTAAAAATCTTCAAATACACCCTAAAAATAGAAAATAAACTCAAAACTCCCAATTGAAAATCCAAACACAAGATGAGCACTAAAATTTTGAAATCCACTTTCTGTTTTTCTTTTGGTTTCTTAATTAGTGATTTATCTTTTAGCAAAAAATGAATGTAAAAATCGTTCGTGATTAATGCGAGTTCAACTGTTAATATGGTACCAGTTGAACTCGCATTAATCACAAACGATTTTTACATTCATTTTTTGCTAAAAGAGAATCAAATTTGAGGGTCTTGATGATAGTGGTGTAGCAATACATTGCAAGCGTTCTTGTTTTTGGTTGGGATTAGTGGTCTACGTGGGATCGATTTTAGCAAATCAGGTATTGATTTGACGTTTGGAGAAGATTTTTTTTTTTTTCCTTTAGTTACTTTATTTGTTTTATGTAGTAAATTCAAATTTAACATTTTGCCATTTTAAAATTGATTAAGATGTGGTCAAATTCAATTTTTTGTCAGCTGAGGGCATCTCGGATAGAAATCATCCATTTATCCTCCAACCATACACAATGAAAAGGCTCGAAAATGTAGGTGAATAAATAAAATAATAGCATAAAATCTGAAAAGATTGGGACTGTAACTGCAATTATTCCTTAATATAAAGATATTATCATAACTTTCGTTTTTAAAAAGTGTCATAAGAATTATATGAGTCGATGCATTAACTATTGTACCTTCTATTAGTTTGGATAACACAATGTAACAAAATGATTAAACTAAAAATTAAAATTGAAGTTTAAGCCCCCGTTTGATTCATATTCTTTGACCACAAAAACGAAAAATATAATTGCTATCCATCACATCAGACTATCATATTTGACTTTCTATTTCTTTTACAGATCTCATAACAACTGTATTTTTCATTCTCTTTTTTATAAAAATGGGTATCAAATAGGACTGATTTTCGCAAATTAATAAATAATAGTGAACCAAGTGTTATTTCGGTAGAAGTTCAAAAGCGTAGAAGAAAAGGATGGATTCGCTATCTAAAAGTAGGCCAAAGAAGGAAAGTGGGTCAGGGAACCGCTATAGTATTATTTTGCCGTTTCTAGCATTATAATGCATACAAGTATGCGGTCCAAAACTCATCCAGTCCCTCAACTTTCTAGAAACTTCTCTGTGACCAGCAATAAATTATCGGTGTGGCCAAAGGGGACCCTCCCTACCCTACGCTACCCTACCCTACCCTACCTACTTGCAGTACTTTTCTTTAATTCGATGGATCTAAAATGGGTAGACCTACCTTAAATCTATTAGAGGACTGGGACACGTATGACTCTATTTAAGGTAGGTTAATAATTAGGTTCATTAGATCATGATCGACCACAATAATTTAGCTCTTGTTTGCGCTTTATTATTCCACATTTTAATTAGAGAAATAATAATTTTTTTAAAAATGTATGATTGAAAAAAAAAAAGAAAATTTCTTTACATGTAATATTATTTTATTTAAAAATATGTGGTTGATAAATGAAAAGATAAAAATGAATTTTGATTTAATGAGGCCCGTCAAGGGCTTAGCCTGCTTGAAGAGGTGATTTTGTTAGGGATCAATCTTGTACGTTTGAATACATTTCGTAACAAGTGAAAAAAATAAGGGAAAAGTGAAAAAAAAGGGAAAAATGAAAGAAAAGTCAGAAAGAAACAGGGACTTTGATAAACGAACAGGGCCGTGACAGGGTGTCGCATAGTTGACGCCCCCTCATGTGACAGGGGCTATCACCGCCTTTGTCACAGTAGTAAAACCCAAGTAACAATAGGGTTTGATAGTTGACGTCATATGACATAAGTTTTGATTCAAATCATGTTCCAGATTTTTCGAATAGAGGTGAACGTGGATCCAACCATCAGAGAGAAAATCAAATAGAAATGCCATGAATTGCGCTTTAAATCAATTATACAGTTTGTAGATTGAAGACGGGTTATTAATAAATATCATTTGACATGAATTAAGAATGGCAATGGATGGGGATGGAGTTAAAAGCTTAAAACGTTCTCTTTTTTCGGTCGATTTTTTTTTTTTTTATTAAATAAACCACATTAGAGGTGATTTTTATTAATTTTGCAAGAAGTCTAGAGGGTAAAGACTACAACATATAAACAAGGAAAATTACCTAAAATCCTACATTTTAAGCATACTATTCGAAAATAAGGAGGATTAGCTATGAATTCATAATCTTGTGATAATTAAAAATTATTAAATTAATTAATACAAGATTAATTAATACCCCTACTCCCCATCACGCCACCCTCACCCCTCTCTGGTATACGTAAATTCATATATGCAAATAAATCACCTAAACTTCTTTCACTATAAATCACTCTAACTCTCACTTTCTCCCTCTATATCTCTCTAATTTAAATCCTTCTCCAACCATTTCTATATTTTAATGAACAAAAATGTAATGAAGACGAAATTCTCTCTCTAACCATTTATCCCTCTTGTTAGCGGCAATAACTAAATCTGATTTCTTGGTCCCTCTCATTTGTACAAATTTGAATCAATGGGGTTTGGCTGGGCCTACCGTTATCAACTATTTCGCTTAGATTTGAATCGGAGGTGGAGGTTGTGATGGATCTAAGATGGAGCTGGAGGTGGAAGTGATGGTGGCAGTGATTGTTGTTGTGGATTTGAGGTGAATGTAGTATTTATGCTGTGGATTTGAGTTGAAGGTGGTAGTGGTGGTGCATTGGAGGTGGTGGGATTGGTGGCTGGTGATTGATTGTGATGCTGGTTTAAGATGTGTGCGAATTTGTTTGTGATAACTCTTTATGATGAAATCTATGTTAATTGTGATCAGTCGTGACCAAGCCTGGTTGTGATTGAATGTGACCAAATTAATAGTGGCTTAGTATATATCTTCACAGTTTAGATTGACCTAATCACATACAATCACAATAAAGATAAATTTGGTCACAGTTGATCACAAATAACACAAGTCTGATCACACTATAACAACTTAAATAGATATGATCACAAACAATAACATCTTGCATAGATTTGGTAACAAATAGTCACCGTTAAACACAATTTTGTTATAGCGATGGAAGTGTCAATAATGTGACAGGATCAAGTAAAATTATGTAAACAATGGTGTTTTTAGGCATGATGAGTCCAGAAATGAAATGGAGTTTTTGTGGGCTTCTAATATGATAAGTGGGATTCAAGTACCAGTGAAAAAGTTAGTAATGATTTGAATATGGTGATTGTGCCGTTGGAA